CCCTCCCTCTTCCACCCTCTGACTTCACCACCTCAACCAAGCTTCACAATTTTCATTGCTGTGTATAGTATTAAATTGTTCGTTTAAAACTTATACTGTGTGTGTGTGTGTATATATATAAAATATAGTCTTTTGTCTGGTGAAAAAAATTTCCCTGGAACCTAACCCTCTCCTCCCTCCTTTACATTAATTCTTATGGGGAAATTGGATTCGCTTAACATTGTTTCGCTTAAAGTCGCATTTTTCAGGAACATAACTACAACGTTAAGCGAAGAGTTACTGTATTGCCAGGTGCTAGGTGTTCAGTAGCACTGTGCGTACTTGGCACTTGCCTACCTGCTTGTTCCATTGCCGCTCTCTAAAGTGTCTTTCTACATCTCCAGCACCCAGTGCAGCTCAAAGCATCACAGTGTGCCCTGTCCTACTGACCTAACAAAATACCGAGGGGCTAACTGTTACTGCAGGCAACAGTTACTGCTGCTGCTCCTTGTGCAATGCGACGTTGGTTACTTTTCTGCAACATCCAGGCCAAAATCTGACTGTCCCTGTGCACAGGGGCTGAGGACAGGGAGAAAGAGCTGGGCAGAGAGAAGAGCCTCTTCCACCCCCTCTTCCCAGTAGGCACCAATATTAAGACAGACCTAGTGTAGTCTCTTGGGAGCTAGTCTGGGTTTCCATCTTACATATCGGTGCAGCACAGCCCCTAGGAGGCAAGGCCAATGTGGCTGAGGGGATGGCCCTGGCTCATCATCCCTGTGCACCTGCTGTGGTATGACTGGGGGTGCATGTTGCAGCTTTGCACAAAGTGACAGCAAGGGCTGCAGCTTAGCAATCTCCTCACCTGTGCAGGGAGAAGGCCGACGCATGGGCTCCTCCCTCTTCCCATTCATGCTGCAAAGCTAGAATCCTGTCCTACCCTTTGCCTGTGGCTTTTGGGAGGACAGTTCCTCCCTCCTGCATGGGAAAATGCCATCTATTTACTGTCCCCAGATAGGGGCTGGACTAGCTGTCGGAACATACATCTTGCCTTCCTCTCACTAGAAGGAGTTGGTGGCGCTTTGTAGGAGGGATGCCTTATAATGGATCCTGTGTGCTTGTGACATCTATGTAGCTCATCTGTCCCCTCTCAGGAGACAGATTGAACAGAAAATACAGAAATAAATAATGCAATTGCTATCAGACACGTTAAAATACCCCTGGAATTAGAGCCAAAGTTCCCACCGATGGCCCCAAAGGCCATTTGCTCAACCCAAGTCTGTAGGGCTGCAGGTGGGAAGGGCGTATTCTCTGAGATGAATGAGCATCAGACTGATGACCATACACAACATTTTCCCACCACTGGGATCAGTTTCAGCACTCGTCCCTTCAGATCAGCTGCGTTCTTGGAGTGCCATCTAGTGGCCACTTCCATAACCTCCATCACGTGCATTCCCAAACACTGGCCTTTGGTTCCATCTTAGCTCAGGCTGATAACTGAGTTGCCACTTACACCCACGTATACTGCATGTGCTCTACCCAGGCAGTGAGTCTGGTTTGGAAGCGGGTATAAACGGTACGGTGGTGGTGGTGTCTCCTACTTATGTGCTTTGCTGTTAATGCCAACTGACCAGGCTGGGATGATGATTTCGTCCGGTTTCCAGGTGACCCAAGAGCAAAGCCTGCAAGTAAGCTCAGCGGAAGGTGTCTCGTCCCAAACAGCTGGTCTTTCCGTCTGACTGTTTGATGTGCGAGGATAACCTGGTTCAGGAACAGGCCAGGGCGCAGGACTATATGTGTGCCGTTTGCTGTTGCTCTGAAGGCACATGGCCGCCCTTCAGCAATGAGGTAAGAAGATAACTTGGTTTGGCTGTTTCCTGTGTTGGAGCATGTGGGTCCCATGAGGTGGCTTCTCAGACAACATGTCCTCCTTCGCTCAGCCACCTGGTCCGATATGTAGCACACCAGTCCGGGCCCTTGTGCCACAGGGGAGCATTGTATAGGAGAGCCAGCTTGGCATGAATGGTGCCTTGGAGCTTCTGGTCTCCCAGTTCAGTGGCAGCAGCCAGGGCCAACAGGAAATAGGCAGCGGCATCGTGTTCATCCTAACCACAAAGGACAAGGGAAAACATGAGGGACTGGTTTGAACTGAAGTGCCCAGTCCTGGAACTGGACCAGGGTCCAGTCCCTGGATCTCTGACTACGCTGACGTGGGACCCCCCCCCCCCACCCGTTCTAGCAGCTGAATTCCAGGATAGGCATAGGGATACTCTAGCAGATACTCCAGCAAGACCATTATATTCAGCACTGCACACCATGGAAAGACGCGTCTCACCTTCAGTTTGTGCAGGGTCAGGTTGCCAAGGCGGCAGTAAACCTTGGAATAGTACATGGCCTCTTCCGCACACTGCAGCACTGGAGAGCACAGGGCAAGTGTCTTCAGATAGCAGTCCTCTGCCATCTCATACATCTGCAGGAAATAGTACACCGTAGCCAGGCGGTGAAATGCAACCAGCTCTTGCAACTGATCTCCTGGAAAAAGATATAATGATACTGCAGCCAGCTATATATCATTCCCATTCCTGGACAACTAAGCATGGAGCCCACAGACCCTGAGGAATTCTGGAATGGGTGTGCTTCACAGTCAGGGGAAGCGTGGACATCTGTGAATGAGGGGATGGGTGAGAATGGACATGAAGATGGTCCAGTGGAGACATAGGGTCCTGTGGCACCTTTAAGACTAACAGAAGTATTGGGAGCATAAGCTTTCGTGGGTAAGAACCTCACTTCTTCAGACTTGCATCTGAAGAAGTGAGGTTCTTACCCCCGAAAGCTTATGCTCCCAATACTTCTGTTAGTCTTAAAGGTGCCACAGGACCCTCTGTTACTTTTTACAGATTCAGACTAACACGGCTACCCCTCTGATACAGTGGAGACATGGCCATCAACAGGATCATTGTCACCATCGGCATAGGTTAACAGGGGATTACTGCCTCTGTGTATATAATTCAATATATAATTCTCTGGGTATGCACGGGCTCTTTCAACACAGGCTGCAGCTAAGAGCTATATATTGGCATTGGCAGAAGCAATTCTTGCCCAGGTAAGCTACTTCCATGCAGGGTGGTGAGGAGTCCCATTGGGGAAAGAAGAACCAGGGCAGTGAGGTATCATCCCATTACAACCACCCTGAATATCCCAAGCTCTGGGAAAACAACGGTCTCCCCCACGATAGTGCGGGAGAGCCGGGCATTCCATGAGACTATCAGCTGGGGCCCCAGCCATGTGCTTAAAGAAGACTTTACCCGAGACAGTAAAAGACCATCCAGAGCCTTCATTAAACTAGGAGCTTACCTTCCTGGCCAATACATTCAGACAGACTTTTCTCTCTTCCCCCCCACCCACTCACTCTGGAAAAGACATGGGGACAGGCAACTCCGTCTGATGCCTGGGGACCAAACCACTCACCTATGCTGCTGCTGAGCCTGGCTGCCAGCGTGGCAAATTCTAGGGCCTTCTCGTAGCCCTGCAGCCCAATGTGCAGCTCTGCCAGCTTATTCAACAGCCGCAGCTCTGTCCTGGTGGCCTTCAGTTTCCTGGCCAAAGGCACAGCACCTCCCTGGGGAGAGAGGGGACAATAGCCCATAGACATCTTGGACAGTTCCAGTTCAAACCCTGCACTGCACAGAGTAGCCCCAAGGTGCCAGCTAGAGAGGAAGGATGGTGCAGGGATCAGGGCATGAGCCTGGGACTATAGAAAGCCAGGTTCATTTCCCTGCTCTGCCACAGAGACCCGGTGTGACCTGGGCAAGTTGCTAAGTCTCTCTGCCTCAGCCCTTACGCACAGGAGTTAATAACACTTGCCTACCTCTCAGAGGAAAGCCCTTGCAGACGCTATAGTAGCAGGAGCTGTGTAATAACCATAAATGGCTTCTGCCCTCAGCCCAACATACTTGGCATGTTCTGTCCTTGGCTGTTTGCCCTGCCATGAAGCATCCCTACAGCCCACGCACTTTCCACCAGCCGGTGCCCTGCAAGCCTCAGAACTCAGTTCTCCTGGGTACATTGTAATTCTGTGTAAAGACAACCACGGTTTCTCGGTATATCCTGTGAGTTTCCAGGGAAGCAGCAGCTCAGGCTTCCTAGGAAACCCTGTCCCGTCTTGCAGCTGAGCTCTTACTGACGCAGAGGTGTCTGGGCTTCAGAGCCAGGTTACCTGATGCATTGTGCCTCTGGCCATGCCCAGCAGGGTGCAATGGCCGTCTTTGCTCTCTCATGCTCGGACACATCCCACCTCCCCACCAACATCTTCCCCTTTCAGCTTCTCTGTTGCCCTTTCTGAATGACTTCACCAAACATGCCGCTCCGTTGGAGATCTCGCTGTGGCCATTTGCACAGCAGGGTCACACTGATGCCAATGCTTTGTGGGGTAGGTACCCTGTAATATTCCACTGCTTGGTGCCTGTTTCGGTTGCCATTGAAAAAGATATCCCCAGCCTCTTCATACAGGTCCATGGCCAAGAACAACTCCCCTGGTTTCAGAGCAGTCTGTATGGCTGCCTGGAAGGAGAAGGACTCAGGGTGAGAGCCTGAAAGAGAGCAGCCTGTGAGAGCACCACATTCACACTCTGCGTGATTTTTTCACTATAACAATAAGAAGTCTTCAGAGCTGAGTATATGCATAATTTGCATTTTCAGTTGCAGCAGCTATGCATGCAATTAGGAGACCAACCGGTCATTTGCATTTGGATGCACAGTTACTGCTATGCATGCACAGCTAGCATATGTAAGTGACATGCGTGCAGTTTTGACATTAGAACCGGAACATAAATTGCCATGCAGCGGTGATGTGCCAGGCAGACATCCCTGGAAACCAAAGACATCTGAGTATTATTCCTCGGAAATGGAACAGTGCAGCCAGTAACTGGGCAAGCTTTCCCCAGATGCTGCCCTGCCGCTGGGCTTCAGCCATGACTTGGTGGAACTACCTTGAAGGGTGCTGAGGGAATCAAAATCTAGAGGGGAAAGACCAGCTAAGCCAAATGTATGGCTGGAGAGAGCGCGTGTAGGTGTCTGGGCTACATTGACATCAGTGGGGCAGCACCCACTTGCTTCAATGATGAATTTGGCTACAGGGTCCTATTTAGGCCATCTCCCAGCCAGTGCAGGATTGTTCCTTATTGTATGTTTAATATTATAAATAAGCTTCTCTCAGACTGGGAGAGCTGCACAGTTGGGAATTGCTGCCTGATATTCAGCCTATACTTCCCCTTCCTTAATGAGAGGTGACTCTCCACTGCTCATTAAACCCGTGGCCTCCCTGCTGAAACCACCCGCCAGGGCATGAATTATTACCATTGATGATGGTGCCATTGATCTGCCTGCTGTGAACACTTGACCATCAGGAAGTAGGCTGAGGCCACCCATTCATTACACACAGGTCAATGAGCAGCCATCTGATACTGACAACTTCCAGTCACTACTGTCTAGGTTTAGATTCATGCTGGTGACATAAAGGTGAATGTCTCTCTCCTCTGTTACTAGCACTAAGCCCCGTGCCAGCCAGTCCCACCAGTTTAAAGGGTTTCTGATGCTGTGCATCCAGGCTGTTGCTTTACTGCACATCCTAGCAGCAGATCACACCATTAGCAACCCTCTGCTCTGCTTAGTCTGGGGCTGATGGGAGGAGCACCATCTTTAAAGGAGATTGCTTCCCACAATCAATGTTTCCACCAGAGATTATGGGCTGTTTTTCCCCTTTACTATTCAAATGCTAGAATCATAGAAATTAGAGATGGACAGAACCTACTAGATCATGCTGTCCAGTCCACCCCGTTGGCAAGATAGAGTTATTCCCTAGTCTACGTGGTCTAACGCTTTGTCCTGCCTATTCTTAATCCTAAACAATGGGGCTTCCACCACTTCCCTTCGGATATTGCTCTTTAGTCTATATGGCTTTCAATGGGATTTGGGCACCTAACCCGACAATCCCTCTGAAAATCCCAGTTTCTATTCTCACATGCTGAATCCAATGCCTTTCACTCAGGAGGTCACCAAACCCCAGTGGTTGGAGGGAGAGGCTGTGCATGTAATAACTGCTATTCCATACACACCAGTGTGGTCACTTCTCCTTCAGTTGGTGGTTTGCCAGTTAACAGTGAGGTAGGGTGACCAGACAGCAAGTGTGAAAAATCGGGACAGGGGGTGGGTGGTAATAGGTTCCTATAGAACAGGGGTTGGCAACCTTTCAGAAGTGGTGTGCTGAGTCTTCATTTATTCACTCTAATTTAAGGTTTCACGTGCCAGGAATACATTTTAACGTTTTTAGAAGGTCTCTTTCTATAAGTCTATAATATAGAACTAAACTATTGGTGTATGTAAAGTAAATAAGGTTTTTAAAATGTTTAAGAAGCTTCATTTAAAATTAAATGAAAATGCAGAGCCCCCCGGACCGGTGGCCAGGACAGGGGCAGTGTGAGTGCCACTGAAAATCAGCTCACGTGCCGCCTTCGGCACGCGTGCCATTGGTTGCCTACCCCTGCTATAGAAGAAAATGCCTCCAATATCGGGACTGTCCCTATAAAATAGGGACATCTGGTCACCCTACAGTGAGGGGACCCTCTGCATGGTTGTGATCTTCTTGCCAAAGACACTCCTAGCAAATGGATGGCTGGATGATAGGTAGCCATGCCTATAGATTAATAGCAAAGAGCTGCCATGGCAAACGCTTCCAGCCACCCACACCCTACCTGGAAGTACATTTCCACCAGCTCATCCTCTTGCAGGAGATAATAGAGCCTCCCAGCCTGCAGCCAGGCCTGAGCCGCTTTGGCTGTCTCCCCCAGGTCAATGAAGATCCTTAAGCTCTGTTTGGTGCAGTCCAGAGACCATCTCAGGGACCTGTAGGGTTAACAAGTAATCAGTCATTACAGAGAAACCGTAAAACCGCAGCTTGGCAAAACATCCTGCATTCCTTCCCCCTTTGTCACAGCCCCATGTGGACCACCTTCCTTTCGGCCCCCTTGCACTAATCCCAAAGGTTACTCCTGTGCAGAGCAAATCACTGCTGCATGCAGTGGCATAGTCCAACTACACGAGCCATGAGCACTTACACACATCAGCCCTGCAGTCAGCAACATTTGGTTCCCCAAACACATCTCTCTCCCATTCACTCCAGCTAAAGGGGAACTTCCACTAGCACCATACCAGGGCTAAGCTCCTCTTTCCAGGCCACTAGGGGGCAAACTGACAAGCACTTGAGCGTGTCATTTTTCATCCAGCAGGGGGCAGTGGCATGCAGGCATACCAGCACAGTATGGCAGCTCTGCCTCTTGGGGCTCCAAGACTTCAGCTGTCCTTTTAGTTCAGGGAGGGAACGGTTCACAGGACAGGTGTCTGCTTCCTACATTCCTTCCCCCTCAGCTCACTGTGACCTCGCATGGGCAAGTTAATATCCAAATTACTGCATGACCACATGCCTGGCCAATTAAATGTTGCACAGAGATTGGTGCTAACTCAGTGATACATGTTTGCCTTTAAAAAGCGAAATACTACAGTTGTCTGTCAAACTCTACACACCTCTCTGTCCCCTCTGGCCTCATCTGTTCAAGAGATAAAGAGGTGACTTGATTACAGAGTAGAATACCTTCCTGGAGAGAAAACAGTGGGTATTAAAGGGCTCTTTAATCTAGTGGATTAAACAACAAGAACCAATGTCTGGAAGCTGAAATCAGACCAATTCAAATTAGAAATAAGGTGCTAATTTTGAACAGGGAGAGTAATTCATCATTGGAACAAACTACCAAGGGAAGTGGTGGATTCTCCATTGCTTGATGTCTTCAAACGAAGACTGGATGTCTTTCTGGAAACTCTGTTTTAATCAACACCAAGTTATTGGGCTCAATCGAGGGGTAATGGTGAAATTCTCTGGCCTGTGATACACAGGAGATCAGACGGGCCCTGATCTAATGGTCCTTGACAGCCTTCAAATCTATGCCTCAAGAAATAGAACCCCTGCAGAGTCACCCAAGGAACAAGTATTTGATAATGGGCTCTTTGATCTAGCAGACTAAGTTTTAGCGCAATCTTGACAGATTCTTACTGGAAATAAGGTGTACATTTTTAACCGCTAGGGTCATTAACCACTGGAACAACTTACCAAGGGTTGTGGTGGGTTCTCCATCAATGGCAATTTTTTTAATCAACATTGGATGTTTCTCCTAAGAAATATGCTGTTGTTCATCAGGAACGATTTGGGGGAAGTTCTCTGGCCTGTGTTATACAGGAGGTCAGACTAACTGATCACAATAGGCTCTTCTGGCCTAGGAATCTATTAATCTGTCTGTGCATGAGGGGCACTGGAAGCAAGGTATTTCCCCTAGGAGGTGTTTCCCCCTAGAATTTGGACCCTCAGTTGATCTGATAGAGCTCTGACCCTATTGATCTCTGTGGCACCATGCAAGACCCATCAGATTTTTGCTGAACGGTATTTAGAGTGTCAGAGGCTGAATTCCTACTGTGGTTAGGGACAGCGACTAAGTCCTAAAAAAAGAAGTGCTGGAACATACTCCCAGTACTTCTGGTACTATCACTCAGTAATGGAAGTACTAGAGCACCAAAAGAAAAAAGAAAAAAAACAGTGCCAGAACAGCGTTCTGGAGTGTCCAGCACAACTCGAGCCCCTGGTTAGGGAACCCCTTTCAGTTGACATTAAGCCAAATTCCTCTCTAGCATGAGTCCACTGGAGTCAGCAGAGTTACAGAAGGGGTGGATCTGACCCAGAGCCAGTTCAGTTGGTTATAACTCACCTGTTTGTACTAAGCTCTCTTTATTGCATAAGATGCTCCTATCACAGCCTCTTAAGGAGATGCTTATTAAAAATTTTCACTCTGTATCCTGTGTGCCAGGTCAGAGCAAGGCTGCCAGCTCTTACAACCTCAGGCAGTATGCAAGAGATAAGGCACTGTGTGCATTTCCATGTGCTTCAAATATCAGGAACCACTACCTGTTTTAAATCCTATTGCATAATGGTCACCATTAAAATTTCAACATTTGCCAAGTTACCATATAGTTGTATCTGTAATTAAATCATTTCCCCCTTTACTTACAATATGAGATATCGGCAGAGATGGTGTAGTAAAAGCTGGCAAATGTTTCCTTTTCCATTACTTTTGCTGATAGAGTGTGAGGCACAGTAAATGCTATGACACACATATAATTGCTCCTTCTTCTGGCCCACTGGAGACCCTGCCCTGTACATCTGAGAGGAAGCAGTTGGTCTTAAGCAGAGACTCCCAACCAGCAACCTCTGAAATGGGTATGGCCATGGGACTGACTTACTTGGGTATGTCTAGAGTCTGGTAGAGCCGGCTGAGGGTCTGCAGGACTTTCCCTTCTATCTCTCTGTCCCGAAGCTGCTGTGCCAGGGATACCCAGTGCTCATGGTAGGTAATGCAGGCCCCAAGATTTGGGGATACTTTGCTGTAGAAATGGCAGAGGGACTCAGTGATATGAAGCTGACCTGTATGGTATGGGGAGGGGGTACGATTAAATGGGGTACATTAGAGATCTAAGAAGATGCAGCAGAAAGGCATGTACCTTCTCTGTATACCCTCCTCCTCCCCCAACAAAACCCTAATTAATACACTCACTCTTCACATTGTGTGACTTCAGGGCAAACACCAGTGCCAGCTCATAACAGAGTTTGCTGTCTTCTATCCTGTGCCTGCTCACCATGGCCTGTGCCAGCCACAGCAGGACCTGCACCAGCTCTATCTCTGCATCTTCCCCACCCTGGAGTTCAATGTACAGTCGAACAGACTGGAGGAAGTAGCTCTCTGCCAGCTGGGTCGCCCTGCACGAGAGAGTCAGGTGTCCAAGGTTGGCCAGGGCAATAGCCTGGTTCCGCCTGTTGCCAGTCTCCTTGGCTTTGTTTAAGGCCCATAGGTAATTCTCTGCTGCCTTCTTCACCTGTCCTTCTTCTTTGAGGGCGATGGCCAGGAGGTTGTGAACTGCCCCATCCTGAGTAACACTGTCTGTCTCGCGCAGAGAATGCAGGAGCCGCAACATGATCTCCCTAGACTTAGCCGGCTGGCTGGCCAGAACATACATCCACCCCAAGCAGAGGGAAGATTCGAAGGCCTCTTCCTCACTCATCAGTCTGCCAAGGGCTACAGCTCTGGCCGAGTAATAAAGTGCTCCATCTAACATGCCATGCTGGAGGTACATTTTGGACAAGACAGAACACAAGGTCTTCTGCATGGACACAGCTCCACTCTCATGGGAGAAGTTCAGTGCATGCCTGAGATATAGGCAAGCAATTGCTGGGATGCTGCTCCTGCCCAACTGGCTTCCCAAGAGCTTGGAGATATTTTGGAGGACTAAGCCAGTTCTCCATATGGGTGTCGGTGCCCCCTTTATGCCACTGGGAACAAACAGCCTGGTGGAAGCCAACGTGATGTACGGCAAGTACTTCTTGTCATAGAGGTAGCTCAGGATAGGGGTGGCGTCCAAGCATGTGGCACTGGAGTCCTGGCTGGAGAAGCAGGTAGAGAGGAACTGAAGGCGCTCCACAAAGGGCAGGACCTCGTCATATTTGCCCAACTGCAGGAAAAGCTTGACAACAAGAAAGCAGGCCCGGGCCTCCAAGGGGGTATTGCCCACGACGATGGCTTCCCTCAGGACGTACTTCACAACCTCCAACTCGTTCTCGGAGCTGAAGAGGTGTCCAGGCAAGCAGGTCAGCAGGGCCACCGCTTTCCCCAGCATGGAGGAGAACTTGTGCCTCATCTTCTGCTTCAAGTAGATGGCGGCAAGGTTCACATACAGTGCAGCCAGTAGGGGCAGATCATCAAACCCCTTGTCCATGACACTCATGGCTTCTTCAAAATAAACCCGGGCCTGGGAGAACTTTACCCTCTTGATGCACATTCTGCCCAGAAGGAAACAGAGCCTGGTATGAGCCCAGCCTAGGTGAGTCCTCTTGGCACAGTTTCTGGAGGTTTCAAGGTACAAGACCAGTTTGTCCTCATCGGAGAAGCCATAAAAAGTGGAGCGGAGGAAGGAAAAGGAGAGGTCATAGAAGCTTTGGAAAGGGGCCACATAGCACCCTTGGTTAAGGAAGGTCAGTATGGGGTCAAAGACTTCAGAGTCCTCCATGTGCCCAGCGTTCAGGTCAATAAAGAACTTGGGGTCATCGAGGTCATCTGGCTCCCGCAGAAGAAATTCTTCCAGGGCAGTAGGGGGTGCTTCGCCCTCCGGGCTAGACTGCTCTGAGTCACTAGGTGTGGACAGGCCGTTTGCAGCAGCTTCCCCAAAGGTCTTGAACAGCTGGACATCCTTACACCCCTGGAGAGCAGCCTCTGAAAGGGACATATAGACCACAGAGAAATGTTTCCCCACATGGAGATTCCTCCTCCAAATCCCGCGGAACAGAGTACATCTCCCCATTCACATGTACTCACCAGATGGCCCTCCTGGGCATGTGGCTGTGGGTTCGAAACCAGCTACACGGCCAACAGAAATAAAACATGGTCAGTGCTAGCAGCCAGAGGCAAGTGCTGTAACTGCAAAACCTGTCCTGGCAGGGTTCCGCTGCCCTCTCTCCAGGATGCTGAATCTCGGCTAAACTATGGTGTTCTGACTCAATGGAGTGGATTTATTTCTATATTCATACTCCATATTCAGCTAGAATTTCAATTCCCTGCCCCACATCCTGAAGGGCTGGGATCAAAGCAAGAACATGGAGAACAGTTCCCAAATGCTGGACCGTAGCAGGGGTTTTTTGATTGGGTATTGGCAACATCACACCCACACAAGAAACGAGAGGGTCTCATCTTTTGTGGCTCAAGATCTTATCAATGCCATCTCTCCCTGATACTGAGGCACTCCAGGGAGCAAATTGCTAGTGGAGGGGGCAGGGGCTAATGTACTTTCTGGGGATCAAGCCTGTCTTCACTCTCATTATGTGTGCAACACCCTCACCCCTAGAGGCTTGCTATTAGGGGACACATGCTCTGCCTTTCACACTCCTTTTCGCATACTCTGGACATGGCAGGTGATGCATTTAAGGGTAATTGCCTTGTGTGTGCAGAAAAGTGTCCTTTAAAGCACAAAGCTAGAAGGCAAGAGAGTTTATAATGCTGCAGCTCTCTTGCCTCCCATCTGAAGTGCTTTACAGACATTAATGGATTAAACCTCCCAAACCGTGGTAGAGCTAAATATTCTTATCCCCATTTTTTAAATGGGGGAATTGAGGCTGCAAGGTTAGGTATCTTGCCAAAAGATCACCCAACAAGCATTGGGAATAGAACCTGGGAATCCTGGCTCCCAGCCCCCTGCTCTAGCAAGATGTCACTTCTGTTCACTTTAGCCATTTAACCATCTCAGAATCCCACCGCAAGCCCAGACATGCTGGGCTAGAGAGCAGAAGTGGGGGCATCTCTGCTCACACACATTGTGTTTCCCACTTGACAAGAAAATCCTTTGAATTCTTTTTGCCTCTCAACATTAAGTCCTTTTGAAAGGGCTTCACTAATTCGTCCAATCCTGGCAAGCTAGGCCCATCTCCCGAAGGAGCTGCCTCAAACCACGAGAAGGTCATTTACTATGGGCTACGGTGCAGCATTAGCACCTACACGCAGGTTACCCAAGGCCGGGACCAGTTAAGTGCAGCAACCTCTACTGGTGAGTTACAGTTTAGGGCTAGGATGACCCTGCCTGAACCAGTCCTGGAATCAGATGAGGGAAGCACTCTCCCAAGTTACAGGTTGTGTTAGCAAGGCCCAGCTCTCATAGGTCCTGAAGCAGGTAGGTCTGGATGGAGACCTCCCTATAACTTCTAGGATTTGACCAAGACACGGCCCCTCCTGCACGCACTTAGCACCTTATTTCCCCCTTGAAAATCTGAATGTGGGTATAAGACAGGGAGCTTGCCAGAGACTGCCAGATTGGCCCCCGTGTAAGGAGAGACAGGGCTGCAGCACCAAGGAGGCATCTGGGGGCACTCACCAAGCCTGTACACAGAGGTGATGTCTGTGCGGGCCAGGTCCTCGAGAAGGCCGGCGTAGTGCTGCTCGCTGCCATTGCCCAGGAGGAGGAGAAGGGAGGATTTCTCTTCTTCACTTAGAAACACTGAACACTTTCCCCTGTGTTTGGGGCACAAAGCAGTGGGAATTAGCCAGTGCAGGTCTCCTATGGCACCCGCTTCTAATCCCCCCACTCCCCGCCACAGCTCTACCACGGGGCAGAGACAGGGCTCCCAACCCCTCCACCACCATCAGAGCTCTGTCATGGCTGGATACAGGAGCCCAGCTCCCCTCCCCCATCAGAGCGCTGCCATGGGAACACAACGGGGCTCTCGGCCTTGTTTGCCTCCCATCCCTAGGCAAATCCTGCCGGTGGAGCTTGTCCTGGAGCTGAGGCAGGGCTGCCAAGCCCACCTCCAGCAGTGCTCCACCACGAACTGGTGGCAGGGAGCCCTGGTCCTGAGCAGCATCCAGGAGAGTAGGCCAGGCTCTGAATAACCCCACCTTACTGCACCACGTCCCAGGTGAAGGCCAAGCAGCTGGAGTGGAGATAGGGAATGCCAGTCTGGCTACGCAGCAGGACTGGGCTCACGGAAGGAGATGGGCTCCCTCTGCCCTGCCCACATCCAGGAGTGCTGTGCTGGGGTGCATAGGCAGACTCCTCCCAACCCCCAACACATACCCAGGGTGAGGGGCAAAAAGCCTTATAGAGGAAAGGAAGCTCCACTGTAAGAATGCTTTCACCAGCCAGGAGCGAGAACAGAAGCAAAGGGAAGGATCTGATTTTTAACAGGAGCGTGGCCCTTTACAGAGGAAGGAAAATCTGCCCTAAGTGAGACGAGAACCTCTGCAGAATATAAGCGATCAGCAGGCCTGGAGCGTACACCTACACTGGAGGTGTAATTTCCAGCTCAGGTGGAGGTCCGTGCACTTGCTTTGACTGAGCTAGCATGCTAGAAACGGTAGTGGAGGTGTGGCAGGAGGGGCTAGCCACCCGCAAAGGTACCTGGGATCTCAGACAGGACAACAATGGCACCCCCTTGGCTGCACGACTGAACACAGCTGCAGAAGCCCAAGGCTATGTTTGTGCAATCTCCCTCTCTCATGTACGGGGCAACTAGGGGTATTAGGCACAGGCGTCAGACCCAGTCAGGCCAATGGGGCTGCATGTGGAGGACAAATTCTCTGCCCGAGGCTTGCAGTTTGGGGGGGGACAACACCTCCCCCTGCCCTCTCCCCAATCTATACCCATGGTATGAGGCACTCCATTTAGCACTTTTATGTGTGTTTTTAATAGGGCTTTTATTATTTGCCTCCGGGAGCCACTTCTGGAGTAGAAAAAAACATGCGGTCTGGCTTCCTCACAGGACTTTCACCAACTAGGCAAAGAAAGCCACAAGGAGACAAGAGCTTGAGTTATCCCACCCCCAGAAATGGCTACCTGAGGCATCGGAAACCCTGTGAAAAACAGACCCAAATGCTAATTCTATGAACCTGCAGCCCCTGTAGCGGTATCTCTAGTTGGGGCCTACATCCGACAGAGCCCACTGCCAAGGGCTGTACGGGGTAAGGGGGTTGCTGCCTGCCTCATCTGGTGGCTCTTGCCTTTTCCTTTTGATGGTGTTGGCGCGGGTGTTTACTGTCACTCAGCATGGAGCTGTGACAGAGTGGCTGCATTCTCCTGGAGAAAAGAACTCTCTTGAGTGCTGTCTTCTGCCTCCTTCGGGGCTCATTGTGTATCGCCATAAGAGGAACCTGCAGCCTCTTTGACAACGCTACCTGGCCAATAAACATTTACAACTGATACTGAAAGGGTGGAAAGGAGCCAATTGTTGTGTGACACTAAAATGAGGAGGAGGAGCAGCACACAAGTGTAACTATAAAACAAACCAGAGCCTAGAATAGTACCTGTTCTTAGCAGGCACGAACAGCCAGTCTGAGAACTACCTGAGACAAGGGAAAAGTGACAGCTGACATACCTTGCCACATTTCAAGTGGCTAATGTGGAATGCAGCACCACTCAGGTTTGGCTTGTCTGCCTCTCGGGAGGTGGAAGGGCAGCTGGGCGGGGCTGTGACCCCGTGCACCAGGCTGCAACACCACTCGGTTTGGAGTCCTCTCAAACAGGGTTACCGGGTCCCTTTCCCCCTCTCCCCCCCCCCCCCACAGGGTGGTCCTGAATGTGGGAAATGTTCCCTTCAACTGGGACCAGGGCCTTGAGGGGGCTCAAAGCAGGACAGTCCCATGACACCCAGGACTGTGAGGAGGTCCGAGCTAAGTCTGTTCTAAGTAGAGACTCCTTCAGGCTATTTATTGTTTGGAGGGAGAACCTGGTTTCTGAGCACACCTGGGATGGAATCTAGACATGGCCCCTGCAAGAAAACCGGGATTTCTGCACATACCTGGAATGGCTCTAAGTCAGCCCTTCCCTCCCTCCCTCCTTCCCCAGGAGTTTGTCTGGAATGTAGCAACATACTTACAGAGGTTCACAAGTCTCTGCCGCTATGTGTTTGCTCTGGACAAAGCCAATGGTCCCACTGCTTGTGGATTTCCCCACAAACCACTGCAGTCCTGGTATAAGAAAACCAACAACCTCTATGCTGTCTCCCTTGGAGAAACTCAGTTCATCCCATCCTCTCCCTCTGTGATCCTCTGTGGCCGTGCACCGCCCCTTGCCTGAGAAACAAAGGGAAACAATCTGATTTCAGTGGGTTGGCCCAATTGCTAAGCATATTTGGACCTTCCCTCGTTGGAAGTGGGGTGGCCAATAAGAGATCATGCTTATGCAGTGGATGAAAACAAGATCCCGTTGTCCCTGATTGATTTGCTCCTCTTTGTGGTTTCTGCGAGGGTGCCTGTGATATCAGGGAGAGGGAGGATTAAGCAATAAAAGCAGATCAGACGCCTGATGGACAAAGACCAAAATCCTTGCAGATAACCCCAATAATGAAGATTGGCGGGGGAAATTAAATGCATGGTGCTCTGCATCATACTGCTCACAGTAGAACTGACTCTGCATAGAACAGAGTTTGCCAGAGATGTGTGTGAATGTTTCATGGTCTGACTTGCAGGTAGGCATGTACTTGCACCCAGTTATGTGTCTAATTTGTATATGCAGTTACCAGAGGAGGCAAATGCCCAGAACTGACTGTGTGCAAATGCACTCACTCAGTTGCTGTATGGTGTTGCAGGGATTGTAGGCACAAGTTTGGTGTGCTCTGGCGTATGTACTTCTGTGTTTCTTTGTTTAATTGTTTAAAATTCAGGCCCTACAGGACCAATTGAAACAGAGGCACTAGAGAGAAAAGAGAATAAAAGAAAGGTGTAAAAGGGGGGAAAGAATATAAGAGGATGCTGCAGGCTGTTGGCAGCTCTTTCTGCCCTAGGCTGTTAAGGTCAGCCTTTCAAAGCACATACTGTCTCAAGGTCCCATGCAGAATACTGGAGAACCTGAAGATGCTGTTTTTCTCTCCTCCGTTGCTTCTTGTAACTCAAGTGTCACTCTTGGAGCAAGAGAGATGTGCCTTGTGCATCTGTGGGAGAGGCCCTTCCATAGCTGAACCCAGCGTTGTAAGGGCCATGTTGGCCTCATGTTGGAAAGATTGCGTTATTAAAAAGGTGTACACACCAATTGGCTGAGAGGTTGACCCGCTGATCTCCTTGGAGATGCCGCAGTTCATTGGATTGTTCTTCAGAAACCACCTAAACAGCGGAAACCCTGGGTAAACACATCAGTTCTCTCTGAGAATGGTTCACTTGATAAATGTTAGTGTTCTCAGGCCACCAGCCACATTGTCAAGGAGAAGGTCAGATGGGTACCAAAAGTGCTCTGGGACCCTTAGGTAGCAGGAGCTCACATGGCACATGTCCAGTGCTGCCAAGTCCACTAACCCTGGGCATGCCATATTGCTAGGGGTAGTATGTAAGAAGCGCAGGTACAGGCATCTGAGTGATCCTTGTGTAGCACATAAAATGCCACCCACTTAAAAGCATGATGAATTTCACAGGCTGTGGAGGGGAGTTTCATTGAGCAAGTAAAATGGTTGCTGAGAATGATGCCCATGTCACGACAGCTTAGCCAGGTATCTGTCATGAGGGACCATAATATTAACAGTAATTCCTCAACAGCCAGCCACTGGGGCAGCCTTCAACTTCAGCCAACTTTACTTAAACCTTGGGCTGTGCTTTTCCTCCCAGTTACACCAGCATAAATCAAGAGTAAGTCCACTGAAGTCAAAGGGCCAACATCAGTATAAAAGCAGAGTGAGACCAGAATTAAACCCTTGATCTTACAAATATGCTGAAATTCTAGACCACTACTGTTCAGGCACAAAGGGCTGCCCATCACTCTCAGCGATAAGAGTACTCCCGTACCCTGGATTTGGTGCTGCCCTGGCAATAGGGACCCTGAATGTGCCATGATCAGGAACAAACATTGGGTGGGCAGCACGGCCCCTTGGGTAGAACATCACGGCCAGTGTACTTACTGGTAAAATGGGTGGGACAGTGGCTCTACGGCTGTCACAGCCACCAGGCCTCGCTGACCTGTCGATAAGGACATCCCTTCCCATTTCGATTCTTTCCCAATGTCCTTCACGTGGACTAGCTCGTTCTCATGGAGCTTTAAGCTTTCCTCTCCCCGCTCCATGGGTTGAAGCACATTGAGCACTGCTCTGGAAAAGAAGTGACCTGCAAACAGAAGTAGGGAAGCAATTAGCAGTGTTCCTTATATACCCACGCGATCTGGAACCCAGAATGGCTCTGCACCCTCTAAACCACAATCCTGCTGGGATGCATGTCCCCATATGGGCAGTTGCTTCTCACCTTCCTGGAGTAGCAGACCCAGGTACATGGTGGCCAAGTGATCTTCATCTACAGTAATTCTGATCTCAGTATCCTCCACCAAAGAACAGTTCAGCCAGTACCCATGGTCAAAGAGAAGATGCTCCAAACAGCAAGCCACATAGCCTTATAAACCGAAGAAAGAACAGTCTAAACACACTCCTTTTCCATACTCCTATATACTCCTAGTCTGTAAAAGGACAAAGTCCCATTTCTGCCATCCATCAGAGCAGCTGTTTGCCATCAGTGCAGCAACAGCCGCTTTGGTG